TCCCGGCTGGGGGGGGCTGCTGCGACTCCGCATTTGAAATGTGCTAAGGCCGGGGCCAGGCTTGCTGCATGCAAAAGGCAGATCCACAGCGGGGTGCATGCGGGACCCAGCATGAGCCGGGCAGCAGCACTGGGATCTGGTACTGGGGGGAACCAGCTTGTAAGCCAGCTCCTCACAGCACCAGCTCCTGCTTCTCCCGCCTCCCCCTTTGCTGCTTCTGGTACAGAGGGCAGCAAAATAGTCAAGTTCCTGCGAAGTTTATCAAGTGGTGGAGTACTGGCTCATGTCCCTAATTCACAGCCAGGTTTGGAGTTTCTCCTGGTGGTTCACACATGCCTGAGTGCACAGAGAAAAGTAAATTCTGCACATGGATGGAAAAAGATTACAGAGAGCATGGTTCCAACCAACAGGAGCCTTGCTGGGTCTCACAAATTCAGCTGCATTGTCCTGATATTTGGTGGGTTGTTGTTTTTTCCCACTCCCTGAAGCCCCCGGAACACTTTGGTGCCAAATGGTCAGAGGCTGCAGGGAGTGCACTTGGTTTTATGGGGTCCACTGAGTCAGGTATCCAATGGGTGGCATAACAAAGATGATAAGGAGCTTCAGGGGGTAGCTGAGTTAGTCTGTTACAGAAAAAAACAGCAAGCAAATGGTCTGGTAGCACTTTATAGACTAACAAAACATGTAGATGGTATCATAAGCTTTCATGGGCACGGCACAGCCCACTTCTTCAGATGACCAGAGTTATGATTAGAGAAGAAGGAAACTCGAAATAAATAGGAGAAGGGAAGGAGGGAGGGGGCCCACCCCCCTACCTCTATGCATAAAGTATCAGGAGAAAGGGTGCAAAACCTGAGTAGATAAAGATCAAAGTCAGTGGATGGATAAGGCAGGAAGGATACCATTCAAAAAGTAGCTAGCACTTTCATTGATAAAGGTTCCACCACCCCATATTTTTATTTAAGACCATAATTAATTGAATTGAATTTGCATATGTATTGTCATTCCAAGCTTTCCCTGTGGATTTGACTTGAGGAATTGGCCTGTGACAAGACCGCCACATTCAGATCTGTGAGATTATGGTTAGATAAACAGAAATGTTCTGCCACTGGCTTCTGAGTATTTTCTTTACGTATATCTGATTTGTGTCCATTGATTCTTTCACATAGAGAACATCCAGTTTGACCAATATATATAGTAGAGGGGCACTGTTGGTATTTGATGGCGTAGATCAAATTACTAGATGAGCAGTCAAATGACCCTTTGATTTTGTGGCTTGTGTTGTTTGCTCCAGTGATGAATTCATCAGTGTAGATATGTGGGCAGAGTTGGCATCTTTTCTGGTTGCAGGGCTGGGTTCCTGGAGGTTTATGACGTGGTTGTGTGGCATGGTTATCAGAAAGAATACATTTC